AAATGGTCTTTTGTTTCATAAATCATTTTTTGACTGTTTGATTTTGACATTCTTGAGGAACAAGAACATCAATAATTTTTTTTTTTTTAAAGAAAACATCAACATCAATAAATTTCAATTAAGCAAAACTTCCGTTTTCGTTTTCGCTATTTATTTAAGTGCAAAATCGAAAATTTCTATTTCCAAAAATAAATCAACAATATGTTCGAAATTTTCCTTTGTATAATTTTTATTCCTTGACAAGCAAGAAACATAATAAATGTTTTTTCCATTCTCCCTTTTCTGTTTTAATTAAGCCCGTTTTACCAAATTAAATACTATACATAAAAAGGAAATCTTCTCTTTGCCTTTTCTTTTCAATGTGACAAAAGGAAATTATTTCTCTCCAAGTTCTTAATCATAATCAATCCCTATATATACCTAGATACGTGACTCTAATCATAAAATCAGAATCCTCCACAAACACAATACACAAACACTTTTTTTTTTTTTTTTGTCTCTACGCTTTTTTTAGGTTTTATTCACAATGGAGAAATTGCTTGGTGGACAAACAAACAATGGAGCTCTTAAGTCAAAGACTAAGATCGTGTGTACTCTTGGACCGGCGTCTAGATCTGTCGAGATGATCGAAAAGCTTCTCAAAGCCGGTATGAACGTAGCCCGTTTCAACTTCTCTCATGGTTCTCACGATTACCATCAAGAAACCCTAGATAATCTCAGAATCGCCATGAAGAACACCAGTATTCTCTGTGCCGTTATGCTCGACACAAAGGTAAGACCTAATTCATCCTCGTTTTCTTTTAGTTTCTACTTATGATTTCTAAAGATTCGATTAGGGTTTGGATTTAACTCTCGGTTAAATTTTGTTTATTATAGGGTCCTGAGATCCGAACCGGATTTCTCAATGAAGGTAAACCGGTTCAGCTAATTCAAGGTCAAGAAATCACAATCTCAATCGATTACACCATTGAAGGAGATTCAAACACAATCTCCATGAGCTACAAGAAACTTGCAGAGGATCTCAAGTCCGGTGACGTGATTCTCTGTTCCGACGGAACAATCTCACTTACCGTCTTGTCCTGCGACAAGAATCTTGGTCTTGTTCGTTGCCGTTGCGAAAACTCTGCGACTCTTGGAGAAAGAAAGAACGTTAATCTTCCTGGAATCGTAGTTGATCTCCCAACACTTACAGAGAAGGATCAAGTCGATATTCTTCAATGGGGAGTTCCGAATAAGATCGATATCATCGCTCTTTCCTTTGTTCGTAAAGGATCTGACCTAATCGAGGTTAGGAAATTGCTTGGAGAACACTCAAAGAGCATCATGCTTATGTCAAAGGTAAGAATAAAAAAAACAGAACACTCTGTTTTCCTTAAGTGAAATTTGATTTCTTCTTAGTTATATACTAACGTTGTGATGATTAACAGGTGGAGAATCAAGAAGGAGTGATGAATTTCGACAACATTCTGAAGAACACTGATGCATTCATGGTTGCTAGAGGTGATTTGGGAATGGAGATTCCGATTGAGAAGATGTTTCTAGCTCAGAAGATGATGATCGAGAAGGCGAATGCACTCGGGAAACCAGTCGTGACAGCGACACAGATGCTTGAGTCGATGACCAAATCTCCACGCCCGACTAGAGCCGAAGCAACCGACGTAGCGAACGCTGTCCTCGACGGTACCGATTGCGTCATGCTAAGCGGAGAAACAGCTGCCGGAGCTCACCCCGAGACCGCCGTGTTAACCATGTCAAGAATCTGCAAAGAAGCAGAGGATTACATTGATTACGACGCTATGCAGAAGAAAACCCTACAAATCGTTTCTTTACCGTTATCACCGATCGAGAGCTTAGCCTCTTCGGCTGTTTCCACGGCTAGGAGTCTAGGAGCGAAGGCGATTGTGGTTCTGACCAAAGGCGGCTACACGTCGGAGCTTGTGGCGAAATACAGGCCTAGCGTTCCGATTCTGTCGGTGATTGTGCCGGAGATTGATCGCGACGAGGAAGCGGCCACTCATGTGGCGAAACGTGGTTTGATTTGCCGTGGAATCATTCCGGTGGTGGCGACCGGAGGTTTCGATTCGACGGAGGAGACATTTAGGTTTGCGAGCGGAGTCTCGAAGGAGAAGGGAATATGTAAGGCTGGAGATTTGATTGTGGCGTTGCACAAGATCGATGGTTACTCTGTTGTCAAGATTTTGAGTGTGGAGTAGAATACTCTGTTTTGTTTTTTCATACGGGGTCAA